ATTTAAAGCTTCTTAGTTTGTTTCATAAAAAATGTAAACAAATTTTAAAGGTATAGTGTCCTTATTCAAAACCGTAGAATAATTTTAAAGGCATATGGCCGAATGGTTAGCACGTGCGCGCTGTATCATACGGTCTGTCATTGAGTCAACTGGCAGAGTTTCGATTATTCGGTTGTACGTGACAAGGAGTATGGTCGCCTGTCCAACCTCGTGGGTTTTTTTCCGGGTCCTAGTTTGTGTGTGTGTGTGTGTGTGTGTGTGTGTGTGTCTCTCTCTCTCTCTCTCTCTCTCTCATTTGTATTGCAAATGTAATTTACAATCAATTTTGATTTTATCAGAACATTTCAATTTTTCAGTAATTTCAAAGTTGATATTAGAATGCGATACCGGGTGGGTGTTTGAATCAGTCGATATTTGACGTTTATATGCTTGATCGTTAAAGATTAATAAAGCTCCTACGTATACGATAGTTGTTTTAAACTCACAGGGATACCTCATCCTACGGGCTACACAAGAAAAATGGCGTCTATTTTATTCTACACATATTTACTTCTTGATAACTTAATTGTTTGGCTATTTTACTCTGCACAACCTGAAGGTTAATTCTGTGGCTTAGGTGTCGGGTCAAATCAAGTGTCCAGATGTTGATAGACTGTACTATAATGCAATGTACATAATATATTTACAGCATTCATGAAAAAGAAAGGTGAATGCTAGAAATAATTACATAAAATATATACATATTTGAGTTTACTAATGGGAGACAACTCTTTATAAACTACCCACGTCTTCGGTTGCACACCAGCATTAATTTCTATAACCAATTGTCAAGGGTTCTCTACGTTTAGACGGGACCTTGGTTTTTGATCACATCCTGCACCACTGACAAGGGAAATTATTCGGTTAACACCGAGATCGAACCCAAGATCCTGATCAGTGAGTCAGCCGCTAACACACTGAGCCACCGCGGTCCCATCAGAATAATAAAACATATTCCATCTATGTATTATATGTTTATGTTTTTTTTAAAATGTTCGATTTCCCGTACCACGTGTCCGCAACCTGAATGTAACTATGGCTTGTTTCCTAGATGCACGATCGATTTGAAAGAACTTTTTGTATGTCGGGGGAGAAATGAATATAAATACTTTTTTTTAGAGAAATGATCATTTTCTTTGCGAAACTGTGGTTTGTAGTAAATACAGTAGATATGTGTTGCACTGTCTTTAGGAAAACGGGGAAAAGACTTTGATGTGAATAATGGACAAGGTCACAGAACTTTCCTCGAAGTTCATTGAGTTTTAGAGAGCGTAGAATTTGTAATTATGTAGCTGTCGTAGCCTGAGTTAAGACGCCATCAAACTCAGAATATCCTTTCTTCAGTCTTTTTAATCTTTCTACAAACTAACAAGTAACATAGTTTCAACATTTTCTCTAAAAGCAAATACCATGTCCCACAAAAGCTCACTTACACTTATAGTTTGCACGTGTTGCTCACTCTTTTTGTGAGTCGTTGATGGCGTGAATAACCCTTTCCTTTCCTTTTTTTGATTCTATTTTTGTTCTTTACAAATAAAAACGGAAGCCTTGTTGACAATTATCAGAGAATTTATCCATTGCTCCTGCACTTCACTTGTTAAATTTATTGATATCGCAATGGTGCCAAAGAATACTGACTTCCGGCCACGAAGGGCGCATGTCAGATAACATAAGAAACCTCATCTCTCAACCCTCCGTGTTTCGAGATAAGAGATGGTGCTATGTAGTTCCTTCTGGCAAAACCCAACGGGGATCGCATCGATCCTCAGTAAGCAAAATTGACAACATTTTTCATCAAAACAACGATTGATTACTGGTATTCTTAACATTTCTGCCATATTCACCTTCCAGTAAACATATAATCCCACCTGACACAGGTAAAAATCATGTATTTTTTTAAATCGAAGCGATAATAGCCTGGCTCTCCGACATTTTAAATTTGATTTCCTTTGACGCCATGAAGACGGAGCGTCGTGTACAACAGCCAATCAAACTACTGACCTGATATAAGTTGCGCAGGAATAATACATCGTAATTATGAATGTCCGTATCAATTTTGATAAAAACAACAATATTTGCAGATAAATCAAAGTTGTTTCACTAGCGTATGTTTATTAAGTTCTAATAGTATAAAATTAACTTCTTTTCAAGAAGTTTGCCAGGTGAAACTAAAGGCACCCAATCGTAGCTAATATCTCATCGTTTTTAGCTACGTTGTCGTAGCCAATGTCAATGTACTTGAACATTTCACAAGAGCATGAACTTTATATTTTAATTTTTTGTCACGCGTTTCTTTTACACGAGGCGCCTGAACAATGACTCATTTTTATCCACGAACTCCGAGGCCAAGTTAGTATTAAACCTAATGTGTTGTTTTAAATTGAAATGAAATAAAATGGAGTTTAACGTCCTACTGTTCTGCTTCGAACTGGGCTAATGAAGACGGGCATGCGCCATACAGTGTGCTATGAGGGAAATTTTGCCCGGACAGCGGCACTACGGCCTACTCTTATATCGAATTCCAACTGTCAAGGGATCTTTTACGTGCACGCCTATGTGTTCACGGGACCTCGGTTTTCGTACCATCCGAACGAGACAGCTGTCCTTGTCGGGCCCTCCGTCCTGCATCACTGATAAGGGGGAACCACGCCAGAAAATCTGGATGAACTTTCTCGGCCAATGCAGGGATCGAACACCCGACCTCCAGGGCGACCTTCGGTTGCACGGATTTTTGTACTATAGTCGAACCATCTGCATGCGAATGACATTTAGTTCAACTAGTGGTCATGACCAGCCGTACCATGCGATAAAGCACGGTCGGGATAATTCAAAGATGGCTTTGTGAAGATTTTCTGAAAAATATAATGAAATTGCCGATTGCCGTTGCGTTATTTACACCTTGGTCGGTATTATAGGGCCCATGTTAACGCCTGAAAGTTAGTGAATGGGCATTGTAGTATAGATGTTAAATATGATTTTTTTTCGTCTTTTTTGATGAATTTGCCAGATTAGGATCTTCTTATTCGAATATATATAGGCACACCACAAAAAACTGTACGTGTGAAATGATTTGGTTGGGTGACATAATTCCAATGAAAAATATTCTGATATTGACTAATCCTATTTGTAACCTATTTTAAGCTTGCTTCCACATCGCAGTATGGAAAATTATCCAGTTTTTAAAAATACATGAGTAAATAGGAGAAAATATAGCAGGCGGAACAACTGACATGGTCGCCACCATATTGAATAGTCAATGGCTAGGGCCATTTGCGTTTGGTTGCTGGTTCAGACTGTAGTCGCGACCATAATCTACATCCGAAGGTCGCCCAGGCTAGCGAGCCAACGTCGTACCCACTTAGCCACCCTAAACCTCTTGTTTTAAAGTAGCTGAATCTCTAATTCATTAGAATTTAATATTGGTCATTCAATACTGTTGTTATTTTACCATGAATAAACAAGCTCCCGATATCCAATTATTTTAGACACAATGCAGATTTTAAAATCAGTCGGAGCGACGGTGTTTTCGCTATGATCTCGAATGCCATGTGTAATGAAGGGCCTTGATGAACGAGGTAAATCGTAGACAGGACTAACCAGGCGATAATGTCTGCCATCACGTATTTCGCCGAACACAACTGATTAGACATTACAAAATTTAAAAATTCGAATGTTAATCAGTTTATTTATAAATTTCATATTACATTAATATGTGCTTTTCAACCCATTTTGTCCATTTTAGCTTCTAAAGAATAGAGATTAAACCCCTTAATCGACAAAATTACCATCTGAAGTACATTTTTCATCCCTACTTAGTATTTTAGGAGATGTAATAGTTTCATTGACATATCAACACAGCAGTAAAGTAGGTGTTTTATTCTTTGTTTTTTTTTGTTATTTTGAAGCCAGAACAAAGTTCTCAAGTCTGGAGCTCATGTATTAGTAAAAATATTTTTAGAGGCTATTGTTGTACGTTAGGTACATGTGAAACAGATGTATATAGACTTACATGCTATGAAGGTATATCTATGTAATCTCTAGCATATCACGTATTTGACTTATACTGATCACATCTGTAATCAACATAACGGCTATATTATGTTTAAAGGTGAAAGCAATCTTTTGGAGACTTAGAGGACCAACCCTTCTATATATAGGAATCTAACCAAACGGGCACATTGCCAGTTTTATACGTACAGTTAACAATCCATGCATTCTCTAGATGTAAGAAAAAATGGTGACCAGGTCGCACCTGATTTAAAGGATGTAATGGCCCAGTTTAAAAAAAACAAACAAAAAAACAAACAAACGATAATATTTGAACTATGTGGACTTCCTAATCAGGTGAAAGGAGATATAGAAAAGTAATTATTATTATTGAGTTAACAGAAAAGTAATTATTATTATTGAGTTAACAGGTCGGCGCTATAGATTGATGGACAGCTTGCTCCCAATTCAATGGCGGTATCCCAGCTGCGATGACCGAGTTTATTTTAAATACAAACGATAATTAGGTGGACTTCAAAAACAGGTGAAAGGAAATGGTCAAGAAAAAGTAATAATACTCCGTAATACAATCCCCTTTCACATATTCGTTTTAAGTGACCCTTCAATACCAAGCTATCTGATGCCAACACCTGGTAATCTGACAGGACATCTTCCGACAGGACAGCTCGAGTTTATGTCCTGACCTTGTTGCAGATCCTTCATAAATGAAAAATTGTTGGTATGAATACTAGTTAACATTTTTTACCTTCGTCTGAAACACAACGTGTTACTACACAAATGACATTTAGTCCACATTTAAGCGAGGATGAACTACTAATGAAAATATTTTGAAAAGTGGCATGATGTCGCCCAGTGCAGTCGGATTACATAAGTAGCGACAATTTTAAAAATGAACACCGAGGATTAGACGGTAACCGTTTGAAACAGGTTACAGTTAAAAGCAAAGAACTTTGTTTATTACGTGCCTCTTGCCAATTTGGCGAGGAGTGTCTGTAGTAGGTTAGTGGGGCCAACTTTGTTGTCCAAAGTCACAAAGCTGAAACTGGAGTAGTTAGTAAAATGTAAAATCTGGGTAAAGTGTGTTTAAAAAGTCTTGTAATTTTCTTATAACAACCCAATGTGTACCATGTGACGATAACGGACTGGAGTACGTGCTTATGTCTAAAATTTGTTTGTTTCACATATACTAGTCATAACAAATTAAGTCATCATTATTAGATGTAATAGGCTTAAAAAATCGTGTGTATGTATATGGGACCGGAGTCATCTGGTCTAAATTGTCTGGGTGAAGATTGGTGTGAACGTCGTTTAGTTGGAGTTTTTAATACCTCTCAAGTAGCTTATAATAGAAATGTTACAATAAATGACAACTGGTTTGGTGGACATTATGAATTTGGAAGCAGCTGTATGTTTGCCAAGGTAAATTCAAGTTATTTCCCCATTGGAGATATAACGATATTAATATTAACATATGCTACGGATTCCTTGTATAATTTGATACATCTGAATGTATTGTATGCTAAATTAGATAACAAAGATAATTATGTGAAAGGGTGTGAACATTTTGAGTGTTACGATTCCGTAGTGTTCTAAGTGATAATGTGCAAAAACTACTCGTATATAGGCTTAAGGCGAAGCAGATTCTACGCCTCTAGGAATTGATCTAAATTTCTGAAGGAACTAAAAAAAAATGGGATAAAAATAGGCCATTGCATGTTTAAAATGACTTCGCGATTTAAACGTACTGCAAATAGCTATGAAAGTGTTCGCGTCTTGTTTGTCCACAGATTAAAATTGAAATAACCTGGACGACTAGTTACCCACTTTTAATATCAGAAACCACACATGTTTGGTTTATAGTAAGGATGCAATTGGAGTATTCATGGACGTTATGTTCTGGATGGATATTGTGCGTCTTCATGGTAAGTTCGCTCAAAGCCAAAGAGGTGGTCAAATTTGCCATTATAACCCCCTCCGATGGTCAACGGTTATTTTCGACCCATCGTGTGGCTCCGGTAATCAACTACAGTATTTCAAGGATAAAGGAACTTGATTTATTACCAGACGTTAGGTTCCTGGTAAGTTATGGAGATTCCAAATGCAACTCCAAAGATGCTCCTATCAAAGCTTTCGATTTTTACAAATCAGGCTACGTCAGTGTTTTCCTTGGTCCAGTCTGTGATTATAGTCTGGCGCCAGTTGCCAGATACGCGCCGTATTGGAACAAACCGGTTATATCTCCCGGAGGCTTTGCACACGATTTTGGCAGGGGCAAGCATTCTGAGGATGCTGAGTATAGAACTTTGACTCGAGTTGGTGCCACCTTCAACTCTCTGGCTAAAACTGTTATTGGACTTGTACAACATTATGAATGGCACCGGATTAAAGTCATTTATGACGGAGAAGGACACAATGATGTTGCTCCACGATTCTGCTTTTTGGCAGCGTCCGCTTTCGTGTCTTATAGTAAGAAAAAACGCTTGGATTACGATTTTCACATGTTTATTCCCAAAGTTCACAAAGTTGAGGATATGCTGAGAGAGGAAGTTGGTAATCAGTATAACAGTAAGTTAATATCATTTATTACTGCAAGACATTAAAACAAAGAAAAGACAAAACGTTAAAACAAACACAAAACACTTTATTCAAATCAAATAGGTGGATTAGCTACTTTAAATTAACACATTTATACAGCTATATTTGAGTTTGTCTATTTTGGTCGTGTAAAGTACATTTTACATATATATCCATAAGCGTTGTGTTTGAGTAACAAACATCATTAAACATGTGGCCGGACTGTGCTAGCCAATAGACAAATTTATTGCTAGAGATGCTTAAAATTGCCCCCTCCCCACTTTGTTCTCCACGAGTCCGTTTTATCACATATATACAAACTTACTTAGACTAATAATAATAAGGTTAGCACCATTTCTGCAGAAATAAACCTACAAGGTGATAGACTTAGATTCGAGTCTGTGAAACACCAAATTAACACATAAGCAACTATTTTACATTTAATTTACTGAATGTCTTTGCAAACCAGAAACAAACACTTAGGTGAAGTTCTTCCACTTCATTCTTCAAGTTCCACCACACCATGTTGTCATGATGAATAAATACATGGCTGGAAAAGGCAACATCCAGAGACGCATGGACTGATTGGGCGTTTGTTTTTATGGGTTTTTTTTAAAAATATATAAATGCTCATAAAATATGTTTACATTGTTTTAAAATTTTATTAATTAATAACTGCTCTTGATTTATTTGAAACCGGTCGTTATTGGACTTTGTTTGAAATGTAGTTCTACCAAGGTAATGTCTTAAATACGGCACTATTTTATGGACAACGATTACTCTATTTATTAATCAAACATACTTTCAAGAAAACGCGGTGACCTTATACAGGGTGTAAATCGCTCATGAATGTAACGCCATTTGACGAGGATTTGTTTTCTTGAATAAATAAGCTGATGAAATGTGACACTGTAGTGTAAGAGTATACTTTAGGCACATGACTTTAATCCACGGTAAACAAAAAGTTTAAAAACAGAACAAAACTCCGTAAAATGGCGGATTTACACATTCTTTGATTTATTTGTAGTACGCTAATTACTAGTGGTAGTAACACAACATAAAGAAGGAAAAGGACGTAGTCTGTTTTAAAAAGTGAATATAAAATAGCTTTTATACGCCAACATTGAAATGTGGTCGTATATTGTCGTCGCCCCCGTCCGTCCGTCCGGCGTCCACAATTGCTCGTGGACGCCCTAGAGGCTAAAGTTAATATCCAATTGACTTTAATTTATACACAGTGTTTAAGGTCATAAGACGAAGCAACCTATTGATTTTCACCGATTTGCGATAATCACCATTAGAGTTATAGCCCTTGATCACGTTGAAAAATCTTATGGACGCTCTCGAGGCTAAAGTTAATACCCGATTGACTTTAAATTTATAGACAGTGTTTGAGGTCATGAGACGAAGAAGTCTATTGATTTTCAGCAATTTCCGATTCTTGCTGCCATCGTTATGGCCACTGATCACTTTGAAAGATCTTGTGGACGGTGTTTAAGGTCATCGGGTCATGAATTTATATTTATACACCGTGTTTACGCCTAATATAATCGTTTCGATTGACTTTAGATTGATACACAGAGTTTAAGGTCTTAAGACGAACAAGCATATTCATTGTCATTGATTTTTGAACACCTAAATCCATGATATGAAATGTTTTGTATTTTAAACGTTAGCATGGGCCAAACAATGATTTTTTGATAATTACTTAATGAGTTCTTACTTGTTACTCCTAATCAGGTTTTAGTGTATTATAAATGTTTCATTACCGACAAAAGTAAAAATATGCGACAACTCTTGTTGACTGCCAGGACGATTTACCTGCTGTGGGCGTATGTTTCGTTGCCTATCTTTACATTAAACAAAACAAAGCCCGTAAACCTAAAGGCCCAGGTCAACTTACAGACAGGATTTGATCACTACGTGAATAGTAATTGAGGATGCTAGTGCAGTAGGTGAACATTTCACACACTCTGCCAAAAATAGTAATTTTGCATAGTTTTAGACCAGAACACTAAAATTGACATACTGTGATACGTGGAATCAGAATGATAACAATAAACAAGTTGTCAAGAAAATCTGTTAAAATGGTTTTATTTTCAAAAATCAAACGATGTAATTATATTATTTAAAAACAACGGCACTTGTTCACCTATGATTTGAAAATCTTTTGTCTTCCACATGCCCGTATTAGTTTTATTTCTACGGAATGACAGCCAATATTGTCTCTGCTTCAACGATAAATGGCAACAAGGTAATCTGGCTCGTCGCGTGTACACGAAACTTTTAAGTTAGGGTCCACGAGAGCACCATGCAGAAGGTGCTAAGGCTTCAATCAAAGATTTTGACCAAATTTTGTTTATAAGTTGGGATAGTCGCAAAAAAACGTAAATGTGCAATATGAGATAAATCTTTTAATTCCTGACTGAGAAAATTGAAAAAAAAACCCATTTTTCATATGGTGAAATTGCGAAAATCCGTGTCTTCTTTAATACAAACTTTGGCAAGTCCCCACACCTTTACTATACGTAGGAACAAGACTAAAGTCACATAGTTTGTATTGCAAAATTAATTTCAGAAGATTCGGGCGAACGAGATCTGTATACGGACTGGATATCAAAGCCTATCAAAATTCCCGATTTTTCGTCACCCAAAGTTTGACGCCCTGTAGCTACTTCTTTCATGCGGTGGGTTCAGAAATTTTATGCTCACGTGAACAAACAACCTCCCAACCTACCAAAAAATAAAAATGACCGGAATCGACTTGACAAAAACTGGGTAAAGGAAACAATAACCCATGGTAGTAGATAATTAACGGTAGTAGATAAAAAAAAACCTAACATTTTTTTTCTTTTCATACCTACTAGCCCTAAAATACATTAGTATCTGTTTTATCAAATGATCTTGAAAAAATACCTTAAAAAAAACTGTAATCGTTCATGGTTCACCTGACGTCGACGGGAATTGGCTTCCGCAGTTATCCACGAGCTTCCATTGGATTATCGATGTGCTCAATGAAATGATCTTAACAAAACATATCCATTACAGGGTGCCCCGTGCAGCGAAAATTTTCTCTACTGAAAGTTGAACTCGACACGGCGAATGTGCACGCTTCGGAGTCTTGTCTCGAAGTGATTTCTGGCTAGTCCCGCTGTACGATAACAGAGTCTATAAATAGCCATCGCACGTGAAATTCTCTACACATCTATCAACTATTACAGCCGTAAAAATATATTATTGACGATTCTGAATAGCAGTAATATTTAACTTTTTGGTTATTACAGCAGCTTTAGAAATTAAGTTCGTTTTACTTTATAAATTGCTTTATCATTAACTATACCGTTAGGAGCGGCATCTTTTGGTTTAGTACAAATAGTATCTCTGAAACACTCTGGTTAGGCATGAAGATGATAATAGCAGTAGTTTCATTTTACTTTTACAAGGTTCTTAAAACAGTTGTTGAATTGCCCATTGTGCGTGTTTTTAAATTAATCTCTTGATCCAGCTTTCTGTTATGTTTCGTAAAAAAGTAGTCTTGATTATCCCGGCTTGTCAATCAGACGGAGAATGGTCGGTAGACTGGTTAAGCGAGACTAATTTCAAAAAAGAGCACGTAACCTATTTTTTACTCAAAAGTGCCCGGATGTTATGGCCGATACTCGTAACCATTTTTCAGTCTATTATTTATGGACATAGCTTTTTTTAAGTACAACATGACCGTTTATTTAGTGACTATAAATGTGCGAAACTGATTTAAGGCTTGGTGTATATATAGATATTGTGATGTAATTGTCGAGATATTTGGAGATATTTATTTATGGTGGGGCACCCTACCATTACTCTCAAATAGACATTATTTTAAATAAAATAATCCAAACAAAAATGATAAATTCAGAGAGACAGCTGGGACTTACTTGATCGTAAAGTAGAAGACTATCGGTGACTTTTCTAAATGCGGGTAGCGTTAGAATCGGATTCTGTCAGTCCACATTGTTTGGAAAAATTCTCGAATTAAATTTTAAAAAAAATATATCACAAAAGCTTATTTTGAGCACTTTTCCATAAGCTTTATATTTTAAATATGTTGCATTCCGGTCAATTTTTTTACGATGATTGATAATATGTGCTTAGCACTTCAAAACCATGCGACCATGAAAAAAAATTGCAGTGTACCTTTTTCTGTATTATAGAGACAATATGAATATGGAACCCTAAAACAAGTCGACAAAAAAATTGCATGTATTTATTTTTTTTTCAAATTAGTACTTTGATCAAAAACTTCCAACCCCCATCTTAGCACTTTTTGCGATTTTTGCCTGGCCTCACGGATACGCTCCTAATAATTTCTCCATAGACTAATATGTTAAATCTCGTCTTTTTGACCGGCTCAAACTTTTCCTCAAATTTTCGTGCAGCTGAACGCTTTCTATCGTAGATGGAGCAACATGTGGCAACCTCTTGCTGAAAAGGTTCGTCATGGAAATCTTGAGATACACAAAATGTAAGTAACATAAACCAACCTCTTAACTCTCTTATCCTTCCGAGGAGGGGTTGGATGGCCGAATGGTTAGCGCGTGCGCGCTGTATCATAAGGTCTGTCATTGAGTCAACTGGCGTGGTTTAAATTCCCCGGTTGTACGTGACAAGGAATAGGGTCGCCTGTCCAACCTCGTGGGTTTTCTCCGGATCCTCCGGTTTCCTCCCAATGCTAAAGACCCCTACGCGCATTCGAATTATTGAAATAAAATTCAACTATATGTAAGTCCCGAAATGACCTAGTTTGTGTCGAGTGACGTTAAACCCCATTTCTCTGTCTGTCTGTCTGTGTCTGTGTCTAATCTCTGTGTCTGTGCCTGTGCCTGTGCCTGTCTGTCTGTCTATCTGTCTCTCTCTTATCCTTCTACCTCAAAATCACGAATATTCACAAAAAATGGCAGAAAATATATGTTTTACACCGTAAAGTCAACAAAAAGGGCCACGCAACAGGGGGA